TGGCAGAAATGAAGTGGTGATTAAGGACTACTGGGGGGGGGTCAAGTAGCTAAGTTAGAGTTCACACGTTCAACACTCAATACTTCAATACTCACCAGCATCCATCTTCAGAATGTGTGCAATTTCATAGACAACTGATGAAGCTGGAAAATGTATGCGCTTTTCTTTGAAAGAGTTATTAATCTGTATTTTGATGAATAAATACCATCAACAACAAAGTCAGCTAATTTAAACTATTGCTTTTATTATAATTACACGGGAGCACAAATAAATAAGCACAAAAGTATTGTAAAATATTGCCAATGCACTAAAGAAAACAATCTGTTTTCAAACAACATCTGATTACTTCAGTAGTATCAAAGTACATTTATAATTACATGTTACCTAAAAAAATCAAGTACAAAAATTAAGAGACAGTAAAACATCAGCGTTTATATTATTATGTATATAGAAATGGCTAATAACACATGGATAGAGAAATCTGTTATCTAATGCTTATTTGCACAATTTTCCAGGCACATACCGACATTTCTAATGAGTTATGAAAAATGCGATATGACATTCAGATTGTTATATACGGTAAACATGTTATATTGGAATGGATGTCAAATGGTTTTCTTTAAAAACCCTGTCTTTTAAAAATGTAGTGCCATTATCCACTAAAAAACATATTTTATATTATTTTCTCATAGCTATTTGTTTTAGTCATTTGAAAAGAGCAAGAAAGTAAACATACACTTGCTAAATACGTAAACACATTTGTAGTGCAAGATAACAAGACCTGTGACTTTACTGTGCTTTGTTTTTTATGATCACAGTGCACTTTACACAAATTGCTACACTCTAAATGTTAACTTAAGGAGTTTAAAACAAAAGAAGTGCATACTAAACATTTTCATATATATTATATACAGTATGTATACTGTATGTGGGTGTACACATGTGTTAAGGATAGATGCTTTTAGGGGTGGGCAAACCCAATTGTATTTGGGGCCATTGAATACTTCAAAAGGATCTTCATGTATTTTTAGTTGAAATAAATCCAACAACGGTTTTTTTTGAAATATTTCCCCTTAAATCTTAAACTTTATATTATTTAAAGGGAAATGTAATCAGACGTATTTGTAGATGACACACATTTTGCTATGAAGTAATTGACCCAAATATCAAAGAGTTTCAAATCATCCAAACCCCAGGCCATGATGTTCAAGTCCAGCTTGGCAAAACGTGTTCTCCTTTGATGATTTACATCGACAGCAGTGCATTTCATATGGTACATAGGGAGGCTTACACATAAACATATTTTATACTTAGATATGAAGCTTAGTATGTTTAAGTATTTCATTTGGACTCTACACTTGATCTAAAAAAAGAGAATGCCATATATAAACACATAAGAAGTGCCAAACCCATGTGAAATCTGTTTAAAAATAATTGACTTTATTTTGGAAAATATTTATGATTGCATATTAAGTTGTCTGAAGGCAGGGACCACATCTTTTTCAATGTTTAATGCCCAGTGCTCTGATAGTTTATAAGAAGTGACTGATGTTTAAGTTGCTCAATAATGAATTGTTAAATAAATAACAAATTAATAACTAAGTGTCCATAATCTGTAATTAGTTGTTTATTTTCCCATATAGAAAAGATGTAGTGAGAATCTTAAGTAGTGCAGATAGCATTTTTCTTTTATTTTCATTAAAACTTGCGACACGATGAATTGTCAGTTGCTACTCTATTCTATTTCTATTCCTTTGGAAGGATGAATTATATTTCATCCTAGATTCTTTACTGCTTAAATCACAGGAATCTTTTCTTAATTTCACTGGCAAGCAGAGTGAAGATGTAAGCTCTTTTCAAATTTAGAACTCTGACTCACCTTAACATGTAAATGATATTAAAGTTGCATTTGTATGTGCAAGGTTTCAATGTCGTCTTAATTAAAGCAACATTAGTTAAAACAACAACCAATACGGTTGTTCAGTTTTATTGACATTGTCACTAAACTCGCTGGAAAGAGTCAAACAAAATTCCATATGTAGACAAAACCTATGCCAAAATGTAGTAAGAAAAACATTCCTCTATTCTTTAGAAGTATTCAAAGAAAACTTGGTTTCTATTTTGAAATAGTGAAATTATAAGTGAAGTTGTATCCAGAACATTGCCCTGTACTTGAATGTGCGAATTTTTCAGAATCACAAATTTTCATCTCTTAATGTTTTGTTCTACTTGCTCAACTATTTTGCATGAGTGAACATTAACCTTTACTTCCTCCCATCATGTGTCACTTCAAAAGAATCACTGTTACCTCTCAGAGTTGCTGCCTTCTGTGAGTGGGCAAAAGTGCAGGATTTCTTTTCAAACTTCCATCACTTCTAAAGAAATTTGTTTCTTCTTTGCTAAGAAATGTTTCAGTTATAAAAGCATATTACCGGCAGTCAATAAAATTCTAGTTCTATAAAATGTCTTGTGAACAGACCATTTTTCATAGGCTGAGCATTTCAACCTGATAACCATACCATGATAGGATTAGTTCTTTGGCACTGCTAGAAATATGACCTTTATCATGGTTCAGTGTCCTGACAGTAGGTTATTGTCTCTTCAAATTCATACATTGACATGTCCTGATTAATTACTGCCAGAGAGTCAGTTTATATTTTTCTATATACTAGTGATCTCTTTTTCTCTACATAGAGAAACACTACAGAAAGAAGAAATTGATTACAGAATGGTTATTGCCCCAGGGGAGCAATTGTATAGGCACAGAATAAGTTCTTGCATCAAAGTTCAATGAAGCCACTTTTCAGATCTTTCAGTTACTTCCCATGTAAAGAGAAGTTTAGAAAAATAATTGTAAATAGTTGCCCAACTTTAAATTTTCAAACAAGTTACTCCTTATAAGGTAACACATTTGAAAAGGAGCACAGACACCTGGCAATAGTATGTGTTTGACAGAATAAATGGGAATGGCTAAATCCAACACAAATCATTTTAATACCTCTGTTTCCTTCTTGACAAGTGACCAGCATTTAAAACCATCTTCTGCCTAATTCAGAGATATCAGGGAAAGATTGGCATCTGAAAAACATACTTATGTCTCCCTACAGAAAGATGTTACCTACATGTAAATGTCCAGGGAGGGATATTTATTACCATACAGAGCCTGAATATACATATGTACCAAGATCATAAAGATACTTGATGTCTTCCTTGTGTCTGATTGATTGGCTTGAGGATATTTTGTCATAACAGCTTAAATCAGGATAACAACTGGGTCATAAACATGTTGTATTTCAATTGTGATTTTATCTTAACCCACTTTCATCACTCTTCGATTTGTGCTGCTTTGATTGTTAGGTTTGAAACACACTCTATAGCTGGTAAAACATGGCGGCAGAATTTATTTAAGCTACTTCAGATCCCTCCTTGATTTCCTAAAACTTCAGGAAGCATTTTATGTATACAATCCTCCCACTAAGTATTCATTCACACACACATACACACACACACACACACACACACACACACACACACAGAAAATATACACAAGCTCCCACTTACCTCTTCCCGTATTCTTTCAGAATTCTAATTGGACATCAAAATATACATTAGTTAAAAAACATTAAAAAATTATGTTTTAACATTTCAAAGGCTTTTCAAAGGAACTGTTACCGATAAAGCATTACTAAGTTTTTTAGCAATATAGATTACAAAAATTCCCTAACTCTTGTTATATTTGGTTTTCTTGAGCAGCACTGCGCTACTGCTGCCAATACCCTTACCAGGAAAACCACTAGGACAATAACTTCAAACACAGATTTTCCTCAGAAATATAATACTAAATTGATAGTTAATGAAGAACCACATACTGTCAATTTTAGGAAGCATAAATAGTAATTTAAATATACAAAATATATGTGATAGTTTCCTTTTTATTTATCTGTGGCAGTATTTATATTCAACTAACAAGTTACTCTTAAAAGATATATATGATTTTTTTAAACTTAAATTTCACCACCACATAAAATTGAATCTACCCCATCCCTCATCCCCTGCATTTCCTGTTTCTTCCTCAAAACACAATAAAATAAACAAGTGGTCATAATTCTTTGGTCCTGGTGTCATAATCAGTGAGAATGGGAGTGATAATTATACACATAAGATTATGACCCCAAATGTGGTGATGCCAAGTTTGAAAAAATTGACAAGAAATACTTTGCCATTAAATGGGCCTAAATTTTGAGAAAGACTGGCATTTAGTATACTCAAATATGTAAACTGGCCCGGTTGAAAGTTTATTTCTCATTTTCTAGGGAAAACAAGCACACACATGAAAATTTACTTAAAAATAGATTATGGTGGCTCCAATGCCTCTGGTCCCAACTTCTTGAAAGTAATCATGCTCTTTAGCAAAAGATTCTTGTTCCCTCCATTGTCACAGTGAACCCTGGTCTCCTCCAATCAGATCCATGATGCAAGGACACACATTCCTAAGATCATTGCTGAAGCAAAGGTTTCCTGCTGGGATGCCCAAATATATCCTCGTCCCTCCCTCTGGAGTCTGACTACCTGTTTTTTAATTTGACCAAGAGGATATTGAAGAGAAATTTGGATAAAAGCCAGTGTAGCAAAAACATGGTGTCAATGTCGTGTGGACATTCAAACGAAGCATCACATTTGCATTCACATTCTGTCAATGGCAACTTAAAATCTTAAAAAGCAACAAATGCTCTTAATGAATATAATAATCAACGTCTACATTACTAGCACCAGATCATATGTCATGTGATTGAACATGATTTATAGCAGTGAACTCTTATACAGAAGCAAAATGTGGTGAAGGGGAAGGAAAGACATTTTAAATGCAAAAATTAATAATAAAAGGCATCAAGGGATTACATATAAAAGAGATAACAAACCAGTTAATACCGAAATTATATCATATAGTAAACTCTCGATATTTCTGTAATTTATATACGTATAGTGTGTATCATTTCAGGTGTCACTCATAAACTAGTAAAATATTTACATTTTAGTATCTTCTGGATTCAAAATAATCCGGGATAAATACGTGTGCCTTAATCACAAGGGCATATACATTTTATTTTGAGCTTGCCATGAGTTGGCACAGCTCTCCATAGCATTCCACTCCAACAGAGAAGATTTGTAGCAGTTAATTATCACAGGACTGAGTCGACCTCCCTCTTCTCATCAAATAAGGTGGCACTCACACCATCCTGTCCTCTCATATGGCAGTATCCCAGAATACAGTCTGCTGTTTAGAATAGGGTGGAGGGCTGTACTTCTTTGCACCTGCGTTCTTCTTCCAGCTGGGTAGGATAGGCATGCTATCCTGTTTGCAAAGGCCCTTTTCCGTTTTCTGTCTAGCCTTTATTTCCTTGCACAAGCAACGCTTTTTCTCAATCATCTCAAGCATTGTATGGTCTCCATGAAACCACTGCATGCATGCCACCTAGCAAAAAAGAAAGAGTGAATACAGAAGGAAAAAAAATGGAATGAAAGTATCGTTTTTGCACTATGCTAGGAGTTGTTTAGAAAAATGTCAACTGTTTCTGCAGCTCCTTTTAAAATTCTTCAAATGAATTAAGAAATACAATAGTTCTTCCAAAACAAAAATAAGAGCGTGGAAACTACCAATAAATCCTGTGCTTAAATTAGTAAGCAGCATGGCTTTACGTAACAATAATTCGGGTATAAATATTTTTCCAATATGTTCTAGAATTCCACAATATAGAAATAAAACCCTTTTATTTTATCTTCTTACACAATGTGCCAAACATTTGCTTAATAATTTTATGTTGCCTCCATCATCTTACAGGTCCCAAAATGTATACATTTGGTTATTGTAGTTACATTAAGTGAGGTCTAAAATGAATGTAATATGTTTTAAAGATGTTAATGAACATTTTCATCTTTTGAAATAATTTTAAGACATGGGTTTATTTGTAAATAGCATGTAGTAGAATTAACAGTATTAGTATTTTTTTCCTAAATGACCATAAGTGTGTACAACATACTCAGAATGTAAACGTTTAATTAATTCTTCTGCAATGAAGTTTTTGCTACAGTTTTTGAAGCTTCAGCAAATGTCTAAGTTACAATCATTGGTCTCTACAGTCACAGTGATACAGATCCTCATTAGCTTAAAAAAACTTAGAGAAACATATGTATTAGGTCAGTTGGGTTACCAGAAAAATGTTCAGAGTGAAATCTGATATACACACATATATTTCGGGGCAGGTAAAGACTGCTGTGGTACCGAGACTACTGGCGTCTGTTGTTTGGACTAGACTATCTGCTTGTGTTGGTCATATCAGGGTGACAATGAGATTGGGTTTCCACTTGTTTAAGAAAATCCACTTTATGACTTTAAGTATTAAAATAGCTTATTTGAAGTCACTGAACTTGGTTTTACAATTTGAGGATCATAATCGGAGAAATTACCGTGTATCAGTATAATACTTACTCAATATTAGATCTCATTCTATGTTTTTGAGTGAGCTAATTCATTTATTTTTCATAAGATGCTCTAAAGTAAGTAATATCCATTAATCTATAATAATGAATAAAAGGAGACTTACAGGCATTTAGTAACTCATATAGACAATAAATGGCAGGGTCAGGATTTGAACCCATAAGTTCATTTCTAACACCCGAAACTCCAATAACTGCACTGTGATGCTTCTCAGTTTGTATAGAGAACTGGAGAGGATTGAGCAAATAAATGAGTACACCTTCAACATACAGATGACGAAGCTAAGACTTCCAGAAATTCCATATCTTGCCCTAAGCTAGGAAGGTAGATTTTGTTGGGAACAAAGCAAAACTGAATTAAGCTAATTCCTCATCCTTTAGGGAAAAGTCAGGACCTAGAACTAAAAAGCAACCTGGATCCAAACTTGGATGTGTGAAATGTCCACTGGTTATTCAACTTCTTAGATTCCTTATCTAAATAATGGAACTAATATCTCACTTTTACAAGTTGGTATGAGATTTGAACAAAATCATGAAGATTAACTCTTTATTAAAACAGCGAAACTTTATTCAAGCCTTACCATTCTAATATTGACAAATTCCTTGTAACTTTCTATACCTACCCACTGCCAGGCATATCCGAAGAGTTCTATGTTATAATGAAATTTATAGCATAGAATTCCCACCATCATGCTCCAAATCACACAGAGAGTAAGGACTTTTCTATGCACTCTGATAAGAAAACTGAGCCTCAGAAAGTTTAAGGAATTAGATATAGGTCACAGCTAATAAGTATAGAGACTTGTATCAAAATCAGATTTGTCTGACTCCTGAGTTGATAATCTTTGTACAACTGCATGCTCCACATACTCAATTTTATTTTTAAATGAGAGTAGTTGTTATTGTACAGAAACTACTCAGGAGTGTAAAACAGCTATGACTTTATGAATGAATAAAAAGTACTTATGAGAATGGCCAGCAGAGCATGTAATGGTTATGTCACTGGACTCCCACATCGTTGACCAAGGTTTGAGTCCCAGATGGGGAATCTTAAAACACGCCAGGCGCATGCACGTGTGTTTTAGGATCCCAAGAATGAAAGAGAAGGGATTGCAGCGTGCCCATCCCTTTGAGGGCTGGTCTCTCACTTTTTGTCTCATTGTCTCTCTCCGTCTTTCCAGCAAGCACATGCCCCTTATAGCAAAGATCTCTCTTTAAAAAAAAAAAAACTTATGAGGGACCAGCAGATGGCACAGTGATTACATCACTGGATTCCCATTCAGCCGACTGTGGTTCGAGTCCTGGACCCAGTGGCTTGAAACTCTTGCTAGATGCATGTGCATGTATGTCCAAAATCCTGAGAAGAGAATGGAGGAAAAGGGATTGTGGTTTGACCATCCCTCCTAGGGGGAGGAGGGTGAGTTCTTGTTTTCTGTCTCTCTCGAGAGTGCATGTGCCCTATAACAAAAATCTCTTAAAAAAATTTTAAAGTGCTTATGAAATAATTAAATCTAAATCAATGGCTTGGACTTGGAGCTCAGAAGTTGATAGACTTAGAAAAGTATATGCCTAACTTGATATGAAGCTCCATGAAAGAAGGGAGTTTATTTTACGTCTCTTAATTTCCTCTGGTACCTAGTTCCAGACCTTCCCAAGGGCAGTCTCCTTTTAAGTAAAATTCTAGGAGTTTGTTGAGTTATCTGCTGAACTGGTTTATGTCCCAATAGATTGCCAAAGTAGCTCAGAATTTTTTCAAAAGACTTACAAAATATTTTAACATGACATTCTATGCAATAAAAATACAGTAACTCTATTTTGGTGAAAATACAAGCAAAATTTATTGAGTGACTATAAACTGTTATAATGGAATTTATAACATAGAATTCCCAGAGGGCAGGCCCCAAATACCATTCATCTCCATACTTCCAATGCTCTAAATAAAAATGCTAGAAATTGAAAAGAAGCCACCATCATTGAACAATTGTGTTGCCTCTTAAAAAACTCTCCATATAATTTCCTTCTTAGTATAATCTCCTGAGTTCTACACATTTTAATCTTATCGCAAAATCTTGAAACTCCTTAGGTCACAATATTTCTTATAGCACCACCTCTGTATTTTCCCTTCATTTACTTGTCCACACAAACATTGTATTATTCATTACCAACTTTTCTTTAATGATTTATGGAGTGAATCAGTGGGTATGACTGAAAAATTATCTTCCTGGATTGCTGTGATAAAAATGAGGCTGATATATTTCCTAGTTGTTACATTTTACATATGTGTAGTCTGCTTTTTATTCTCAATTATAGGTATGTGTCTTTGTGTGTCAATTAAAAATTATGCCACATAGGTTTGCACATTTATTATGAATAGTAAATTCTCGGGACAACAGGTGGCATGGAGGCTAGGACAGCTGGATCCCACATGGCTAACTACGTGGTTCAAGTCTCAGACCCGGTGACTTACAAAAATTAATCTGGGAGTATATGCATGCATGCCCAAAATCCCAAGATGAGAATGGAGGAGAAGGGATTGCAATATGGCCATCTCCTCTGGGGACCTCATTTCTCACTTTCCCTCTTTCTCACTGCCTCTCACTGGTGAGTGCATATACCCTATGGCAAAATTGAAAAAAAAATATTTTTAAAAATAAAAAATGGAAGAGTAAAAATAGTTATGAAACTTTTTTTATATTCTTAAAATTTTTCTTTTTAAAAAATGGTTATATGTCCACCTAATTGGTAGGATGGTCTAAAATATTAACAAAGTAAATCACTTTCCTTTCAGAATGACTCCATAATATTTAATGCCACTTTTCTGAGACAGATCTATAGTTGATGAGAAAACATTGCCTAATGCATAAAATTCCATGAGAGACTACTGCCCAATACATAAAAGAAGCCTACATACTAGAAGATAATTCAAACACAGGTTGTTGAAAGAGTGCCAATTCAACATAAAAATATACTTCAAAATATGTTAACAAATATGTGAAGTTAGCATAGAATTTTCTTCGCTTACACCATGATAACAATTTTTTTCCAATTTAAAATACCCAAGAAAGTGTGTCTAGTAAAATGAGAGGAGTAAATGTTCAATGTGATTTCTTTGTGAAAAGATAATTCTTCTTCCCAAATCCACTTTTAAATAGCATGTGTTTGGGTACATATCCTTCGTAGTTCCCCAAACTGGACTCTGGTGTAAAGGCTCTGGACATTTACATGGTCAAGTTCTCCTCTTCCATGAGTCGAAATGGTATTTTCCACGTTGATAAGAAGATGTTATGCTTTTGCTCATTATTTGAAACTTGATTAATTGCAAGTTTAACAATTACATGGAGTGTGTTAAGAACACTACTCATACTCTATTTTTTATCACAATTATTTACATCTTGATAAAATATAGCTATAAATCCCCATCCCACCTCTCCCTGGAGCTGCAAAACCTTTGGGAATCAGCTCTACAACTAATTTGAAATCAAGGCCAGTAAAAAAGGTCTTCTAATTTAGTTATTTAAATAGCCTTATTTCTTATTTTTAATACAGATGCACTTTTTATATACACCATGAAGAAAAGAAAAATATACATAAGTGGATAAATATATATTGGAAGACAACTGTAATAGAATTATTTAATTACTATACCATACATCTATTGGACAATATTTTTTTTGAGAGTTTTTTGCTATAGGGCGCGTGTGCTCGCCAGACAGACAGAGAGACAGAAAGCAAGAAATCAACACCCAGGGGGGATGGTCACGCCGCAATCCCTTCTCCTCCATTCTCCTCTTGGGATCTTGGGCACACACGCACACGCGCCTGGCATGGGTTCTAAGCCACCGGGTCTGAGACGCGAACCGCGGTCGACTACGTGGGAGTCCAGCAACATTGCCATTACGCTAACTGCTAGTTCCCTTGGACAGTATTTTTTTTAATTGCTTTTATTTAATTTAAGTATTACTATCATTATTATTTTAT